ATGAGATTTAGAACATAGATAGATATACGTGCCTCCTACAAGAAGGTATGGTCATCATGCACGTGCACGCACGTGCGTTCATTTGGAACGAGTGAAATTAAAAATATACTTGAATGAGTGATTTTTAATACTTTTGGTCTAAATGCTTTAATATATAGTATATTTGAATATATAGAAAGTGTAGACAAGATGATATGATCATTACGCACGTACATTCACATGCGCACGCGTGCAATGTTAAAATTTGAATATAATTAATATCCTTCTTGGAAAACGTTGTTAAAGTCAAAAATGCACAGATATTATCTTATTTAATAAGGCTTACAGGGAATATAGCACCAAAAGGGAGTTGGGGAGCGTTTGGGGAACATCTGTAACGGTTCCCGTTACAATTAGCACTAGTTTTAATTGTTATTATGTATCTCTATCTATCATCTTTTTTCATGCTATTATTGATATATTTCTAACAAACATATAGACTGAATGAAAACATTTTTTTGAAATGAAACCAATGACTGTGATACATGTAGATAAACACATAGCTACAATTTACATGTAACTGTTACTGCAACTGCACGGGCTAATCGTGAACACTGGATTACAGTGCATATGAAAAGAAGCGATATGACATTCTTTAATTTCTAAATCTAATTCTACTTATTACGCAGTTTGAAAATCATTTGTTGTGGCATTATTGATTTTGTACATAAATAAATCAAATAAATTATTCGACAATATTTCATCCAATATTGCTGTTAAAAGACGTGTTTTGGAACTAATTTTGAGTGACTATCGGTAAAAAGAGATATTTTTTCATTTTTTATAAACAGTTTGATAAAACTTAAAAATGAATACTATTCATAATGGCTACTAACCTCCCCCGTCCCTCTTTTCGACACGATTCAAAATCAACAAGACTTTACAGGTAACAACATCTAAGCTGAAGATAACGGTAGATCGCAGCACAGTTAAGGTTACAAATGGAAATATGGGCGATTTTTTAAGATAAAAAGTACACACTTTATCAGTATTGGCAATTCTTTTTAGGACTTCACTGATATAAAAAAAAAATGTAATATGGTTTAAATCTACATGTTGGGGACATTCAGATTTTTTATTTAGACTCGTCACGTGATGTCGACGTCACATGATTTTAGCAATTATACTTGCAGTTTAGAGGTCATCTATAAATTCCAATATTGCAAGGGCATAACCAAGTTAAAAATCTTAAATTAATTTATAATCTTTTTCAACACTATATGTAGTTTATGAAAAGTGCTGCGAACCTATATAGATTCCCTTTCTTAATTGCTAAAATTTAATTTGTTGGACGGCAGGTTGAATATTTTGCTGGTCAATTACATTAGATATAGCTATAATTAATTTATTTGCAAGATTTCATGATGTTCGCAGCACTTTTCAAATATCTTGATGCTTCTTTAGTTTATGTATAAAAACTTGACAAGATACATTGAGGGTATGCCCTTGCAATAAATCGATTTATTAGGGCCCTTCAATGACTTTTTTCAATGAATCTGCATACAAACACACGACAGTATCACTTGTCTGGAGAAGGTACGGACAGTTTATAAATAAAATACTAAAATAGACATTGCATCCAAGTTAACGACCTTTTCTTTAACTGCAAATATTTTATTTAAGAACAAAAGACATTTTTCATTGTACAAAATGTGAATTGATCAGCCTCTCACTGTGTACAAACTGCGTCATTTTTGTGATATGACGTCATACTGACAAGTGCATTGCGATCGATGCATCGTTTATATACTGTTGTGTGGGATTTAACAAACGACAGATCTGCATGTAATGGTAAGTTTGTATGTAGTATACAGCTATCCAGCTGTTATTTTGTGGTATTTTGAAGACCTTATTTTATGCGTGACGTCATAGTAAACATTTCCCGTACAAATTAGGCCCCGCCTTCTTACTGTAACCTTAACTGTGCTGCGATGGCCCCGCCGCGGTGTAAACACGGTGTCAGGTAGCACCGCAATCAAAACCCGCGACGGTATAAATACACCGCGGAGGGGACGCAGTCTAATACGGGATCCACGTTGTCTGTACTGTATATTGCTGATTAGTCATAACTTTGTTTTTCACCTTATATGGCCGCTCCAGGAGTCATAATTTGAACCAACTTGAACCTACACTACCACCTTAGGATGCTTCCATATAACTATGGCTTTGCTGTTCTTGAGAATAAAGATTTTTCAAGATTTTTCCTCTGTATTCCTTTGTTGAACTTTGTTCCCCATTGTGGCCCAATCCCTTCCCCGGGGTCTTGATTTGAACAAACTTGAATCTACACTACCAGAGGATAATTCTATATAACTATGAACAATATTGGCTATTTATCATGTACTGCTACGTTAAACTTTGATACATGTATCCTAATGTGGCCCAATCAAACCCCTAAGGGTCATGATCCGAACAAACTTGAATTTTCTCTACCAGAGGATGCTTCCATATAACTTCTAGTATGGCCAATCATTGCTTTGCTGTTCTTAAAATGAGAACATTCAGAAAGATTTTTCTTATCAAGATCCTCCTGCCGGGGGTCTTGATTTGAACAAACCAGAATATACACTATTAGGGGATACTTCCACTTGAGTTTCATTTGTCCTGGCACAGATGTTCTTGAGAAGATTTTTAAAGATTTTGTCCATGTATTCCTAAGTTAAAATTTTATCCCCCATTGTGACCCAACCCCACATCTTGGGGTCATGATTTGAACAAGCTAAAATTTACACTTCAAGCTGATGATGCTTTAACAAGAGTTTCATCTCTCCTGGTCCTGTTGCTTTTGATGTCTCTTTTTTAAAAGAAACATTAATTTTTCACTTATTCCTAATTATCTTTCCTTGGAAGAGGACGTGGTGCTTGAATTGTCTTTAGTCAGGAATACTTTGTGGCAAGTTTGATTGAAATTTGCCCAGTGGTTCTTGAGAAGGTTAAATCGTAAATAATTACGACGACAACAACGACGAAAGTCAATGGATAAAGAACAAGGTTCACTTTTGCCTTATTTGGCCCTGTGAATTTCTGAAAAACTGAAAATACGTAGATTTAGTTAACAATGCATTGAATATTGCTTAGATCTTTGGTGACTGCACATCTATCAAAAATGATGCAGTGTTTTGGCTAATCAATGCATTATGAAGTCACGAAATTCGTCAATTTCCTCATATTCTAAAAAAAGTGGTTCAACTAGGGTATACGGATAAGTAGTTCCATAAAACCGATTAACATATTTCAAATTTAAAATTTGATAAGAAATAGTTCCTTTTATAGTAGATAGTGGGAATAATTTGCCTTATTACTTCAAATAAATCGTTTTAAAAATAGTCCATAAAAAGTCCCCATTACAAAATATGTTTGACAATTCCACACTAAACCTACATTGACATCAAAAGAGTCGACAGGTCGACAGTTGACACCTCTTACTAATCAACAGTGTCACCACAAAGGTAGACAGGTCGACAGTTGACACCTCTTATTGGTTAACCTACATTGACATCAAAAGGGTCGACAGGTCGACAGTTGACACCTCGTACTAACCAACAGTGTCACCACAAAGGTCGAAAGGTCGACAGTTGACACCTCTTCTTGGTTAACCTACAATGTCATCACAAAGGTCGACAGGTCGACAGTTGACACCTCTTATTATTTTCAAACCCATCTGAGATATTAGGGTTAGTTTTCAAATCCACTTGAGAGATAAGGGTTAGTATTCAAACCCGGCTAAGAGATTAGGTTTATTACTCGAACCCCCTGAGAGATTAGGGTTAGTTTCAAACCTACTTGAGAGATTAAGGTTAGTTCTCGAATCCACTTGAGATATTAGGGTTAGTTCTCGAATCCACCTGAGAAATAAGGGTTAGTTTCAGAACCCACCTCAGAGAAAAGGGTTAGTTCTCGAACCCACCTGAGAGATTAGTGTTAGTTCCAAAATTCACTTGAGAGATAAGGGTTAGTTATCGAACATGAAATATTGGGGCTATTCCTCTATCCCACCTTGGGGTCAACCCGTCCACCAGTCAGTCAGTCCACCTGTCTACCCGTCGATTCTACCTGTCAATCCGTCGACCAGTCTACCCGCCGACCCGTCTACCTGTCAACCCGTCGACCTGTCTACCTGTCAACCGGTCGACCTGTTAACCCGTCGACCTGTCAACCAGTCGACCTGTCAACCCGTCGACCTGTCTACGCGTCGACCTGTCAACCTGTCGACCTGTCTACCCGTCGACCTGTCGACCAGTCGTCCTGTCAACCGGTCGACCTGTCAACCTGTCGACCTGTTAACCCGTCGACCTGTCTACCCGTCGACCTGTCTACCTGTCAACCCATCGACCTGTCTACCCGTCGACCCGTCAACCAGTCGACCTGTCAACCCGTCGACCTGTCACCTTGTCGACCTGCTGGAAAAATTCTTCTTGTTTCCTTTTTTATTATCCAGCAACGCGCATTAATTGAATTTGGCGCATGAATCTGATTATAAAGCAAGGCGCATTAATTCAAATTAAGCGTATGAAAGTATTTTTACCGGGACTACTTATCCGTATATCCTAGTTGAGCCAAAAAAGTCTACAAAAATGGCCATATTTAAAGCTATTTTTCGATATTTGATATAGTGCGCAACCTCTGATCTAAATTATGTAACTAGTAAATCATAAAACTGTTTCTGAGGATTAAGAAACATAATTTATTTTTTAGATCAGAAAGTGCGCTCATATATTTTTCTTCACGGAAAGTACTAAATTATACTCATTTGCCTAAAAATTCAAGAACTTGCAATTGCATAAAGCCAGTTCGCCAAGACATGGACTTTTAGGAGATAGTTATTCATAAATTAAGTTTTGTGTGTGATTGTGGGTGTTATGTTTGTTAAAAGAAAGGGTAAGTTCTGCTACGTAAAAAAAATCATACCATTTAAATTTACTACTTTAGCTATGATAATTTGTTTCTTCTTTTCAGATATGAATATTGTATGGAAGTATTTCGTTGCCCTGCTAATAATTGAAATAGCTTCAATGACTTACATTTACATTTCAACTTTACAATCGGAAATCGATTCGCTACAGCATGACAGTGGTAAAAATATCCGTTCCCTGCGATCGCAGCAGAAGGACGAAAATAGAACAAGGAACAGAGAAACAGAAAATAATGAAGCAGATTACCAAATACACTACACTTTGAAACAGATGAAATTAAACAAACGAGGAACTAAAAGCGTATTTCAAAAAGAGGATGATAGGAATAAAAGATCATTGGTTAAAAAGATGAAATTAAACAATAGAAATAACACTAAGCCCGAACGACGATTTCTTGATCATGAGAATATCCAAAAAAACACGTCTGCTAAAAATACAACCATTCATTGTACGTTGTCATTTGACGAAAACAGTTTAAAAGAAGCTAAAAAGACTCTTTATTCACCTCGGGAACAACCTATTTATCTTTTCTACATTCACATAGATGTAGATATTCAAAGCTTGAATGAATTTACTGCTGAACAGAGAGATTCACTTTTAAACTGGCAGTACGTTTCGAAGGATGAAAGATTTCTTGTCCAGTTGCCTGTTGACTTTGATTTGATAACTTTCGATATACTTCATGCAGATCACGAAGAAACATTTTTTGAGGTAAAAGCATTTTATAATACAACAAACTGCTTAGAAGAGCCAGACAACGCTATAAAATCTCTTCGGTTTCAGTTATGGAGCGAGCTTTTAAAAAATGACACAAATTACAATCTATGCCACAGGCACTATTTAAATGAGACTGAGCGTAAAATTCTGTATTATATTACAACTATATGGATTGGTTATGATTTAACTTGTTCCGAGGCTCCGACAGAAAACGGCATTAAGGCATTTGATGCTGAAAAAGATCAACTTCCATTGGTTGCTCCAATGTTTTGCTTTTTACTCTCCCTACAGTTTGTTTGGATTTTTGCAGTACTAGACATATCTAATGGCAGAATAAAAAGGAAAGTCGTTAATCAGATGATACCTTTAAATTCATTTTACAAGAAGAATGATAGGCCTTACTCTGCTCAAAGAATGATCTTAACATTATTTTTTGGTGAGTGTTGTCGATGTAGTAGTTGTTGTAATTTGAATGAAGATGAAGAGTGTAAAAATTGTTGCGAGAGCTGCAAAATTGTTTTTTGCTTTAATAGAGACTCAAATAATGGGAAAAAATGTCAAGAAACATGTACAAAAAAATGCAATATGAGTTGTAAAGAGCTTTGTTGTTGTACGCGCAATATGCGCGAGGACAGCTACTGTAAGATGTATGGGAATTGTTGTAAGGGATCTTTTTGTTGTTTCACGGCAAAACGAAGACTTATTTTACTATTGTGGATTTTCATTCTTCTACCTTTTGGCTTGTATCGCACTTTGCGAAGATATACTTTAAATAAAGACGTTTATAAAGAGTATCTGAACGTTGTGCGAACTAGTGAACCATTGTTCGATTTTTTAGATAAGGATTCAGTGGCAATAACACTAGATGTGCTTTATGCATCGTTGTTACCTTCCGCATTTATTTGGTTAGGGTCATGGTTTTATTACACTTATATGAAAAACCACTTTCAACTATTCACTTTTATAAACTACACAGAAGACAAAGAACCTATAGAGGAAAATCCTGATATTGGAATAAGCGAAAGATTTGTCTCAAGGTGTGAGAATATTTGTGGAAATTGTAGAACGTTTTCTGATTGTTGTTCTCTAGCATCATGTGAAAAATGCTGTGAAGAAGATGATAAAACATTTTGTAAAGATTGTTGTGAAAACTGTTGTAAAGATCGTTGTAAAAACTGTTGTAATGAAGATTGTAATGAAGATTGTAAAAAATGTTGTAAAGGTTGCTGTAAAAATTGTTGTAAAAACTGTTGTAAAAACTGTTGTAAACTATCCTATAAAAGTTTTTGTTTGTCCTTTGACTTTATATTTCAACTGTTGCTTTGTTTTTTTCCTTTCATTTCTTTTACTACTCATGCATTCAGTCGTCAGAGCGATGAATGTACCGAGTGTTGTACGAAAATTTGTACCACGTGTTGTACGAAGTGTGGTACGAAATGTTGTACCGAAAAGGATAAAAACAAATGTTGTAATTGGAAAAGTTGCTGTGAACGTTTTTTGAAATATATAACGATTTTATTTTGTTCTCTTTTTCACTGCATTTTATGGCTTGTATCTTATGCTTTATTCCTGCGTCCTATTTTATCAACATTTACGTTTCTTTTACGTTTCATAACTTATTTTGTTTTTGTTGCCTTACCAATCAGAATTCATATTTTTCGGTACACGTTGATAATCGTCACTGCAATTATTTATTTTATCAAATATTTTAATGAAATTGTAAGCATGAATACAGAAATTCTAGAATATATTTTTGAAATAAGAGAGCAAAAAATTATTGAAAACTTTTACTTAGAATACGCCGAATCTAACGATAATCCTATTCAAAACCATGGCAGCACAGATAAAAGCGATAAAAAGGACAGTGAAGAATCTAAGATCGTAAATGAAAGCGATAAGCAAGAGGGAGCAAACAAAACTCAAAAGCAAAAGGATCAAAATGGTACTACTACTTTGTCTGATGGCGAAGATGACAACAAAGATGACGCAGAATTGCCTAATCCTGATGAGGACAATGAAAGTCGAAAACAAAAGGGTAAAAGTACAAGAAATCCTACGGAAGTAATCGATATTCAAAACCATGGCAGCACAGATAAAAGCGATAAAAAGGACAGTGAAGAATCTAAGATCGTAAATGAAAGCGATAAGCAAGAGGGAGCAAACAAAACTCAAAAGCAAAAGGATCAAAATGGTACTACTTTGTCTAATGGTGAAGATGACAATAAAGATGACGCAGAATTGCCTAATACTGATGAGGACAAGGAAAATCGAAAACAAAAGGGTGAAAATACAAGAAATCTTACGGGAGTAAACGAAATTGAAATGACCGAACTCGTTAAGAAGAATCATGAGTCTACGAGCGAAAATAAAAGTCATAAACCAAAAGGCATAGATGAACTTCAACAGACCGAAGGTATAGATGAAGACATTTTTGATTACATTTTCAAACGACTGCTTTTTGTACAAAGAAGGCTATACTTTTTTTGCATGAAAACCATAATTGTTTTTATGTATCTTTTCATTACCATTGAAACATTTTTAAACAATAAGAAGTATTTATCATCTGCCAGTTTTAAAGATGTTCTGGAAATAACATTAGTTCTCATCGGTCCGTATGCAATATCTGTATTTCTGAAGGCAAATGATAAAAATTTTCTTACAGAGGAAAATAAACAAGAAATAAGAAATATTTTCAAAACATATCATAGATTAAAGGAGAGCAAAACAAAAAAGGAAACTGCAAATGGCAAAACTGAATCAAAGTCCAAGAACAGCCAAGAAACTTTACCGACGAATGTTGATTCTGAAGAAGATAAATATAAGCCACAATGTACAGACGGACCAAAATCACCGAAATCTGAAGAAGAAATATTTTTAGTTGAAGCTGAAGTTTATCCAGACTATCAGACCATACCGGTATAGAATAATATGTGAAAAATACCTGTATATATATATATATATATATATATATATATATATATATATATATATATATATATATATATATATATATATATATATGTATGTGAGGAGGTGTAGGAGATAGGGGATGGCGTGGAAGGATGTGAATGTGTTTTATGGCTTTTGTTCATTTACCCATGACCGCGATTATGAATAATCAGCGCATAGCATACTTACATGTAGAATGTATATGATTATATTTTTCGTTTTATGTCAATATTTTGATTTCATTATCTTGATTGATAAGAAATCAGAATGGTTATCATTTATCATATTCATGTATATTTCCTTAAATAAGCTTTTTTCGTTTAAACAATAAATCTTTACTCACATAATATTTCTTTTGTATTATCTTGCTATGATTCTAACTATCATAGGCATTGGAACCGGGGGGGGGGGGGGGGCTGAGGAGGGGGGGCTTATAAAAAAAGTAAATCCCAATTTCAATGCCTTTATTACATGTATGTATGTAATTGCAAAAAAAGTGGGGAGGGGGCTTAGCTCCTCCCCCCCCCCCCTTCAGCCCCCCCCCCCCACTTTTTTGCAAGTACATACATAATAAAGGCATTGAAAATCGGAATTTACCTTTTTTGTTGGTTTACCCCCCCCCCCTTTCAATTTGCTTCCGACGCCTTTGACTATTATAGTACAGGTTGTATACTTAAAAAAGACCTCTACACTCATAGACACAGTTCTTTGTGTCTTTTTCTGTAATTTTCTTTGCTTTTATGCCCTAACTTTAGTTCACCTTTTCAGGTCACCTGAGTCACTCAGGTGACCTATTGCTATCCCTTCTCGTAGGTCGTTGTATATCAAATGTTAACAATTGAACATTTTTAGCGTCTTGAAAATATAAAGCCATAAAATGAAAGCAAAAATGCAAACCTTAGCAATGAAATAATATGATAAAAAAAAAGAGAACAAACAAAAAACGCTATTTCGATGATGGATCTACACCTTGCCCAGTTGTCAGCATCTGACCAGGATAAGCTGGGTATATCCCTTGTTGATTGTTAGGTTGCATTACTGAAAGAGAAGAAAAAATATATGGTCTATTGCCATTTTATGACTTTATTTGGATTTGTGTTGCTCAGAAAAACGTATCATCACTTCCAAAAATTCAAATTCTAAAGAAGCTTTGAAAACTCAAAAATTGATTTCATTAATATCGGATAGATATTTTTTTCTGTTTCCAAGTGATTTTTTTTTTTTTTTTTTTTTTGCTACAAACAGGGTTTCATTCTTTCCTTAATTATTCTTACCTGATTGGTTTTGCATCACAGTTCCTTTAGTTGTGTTGAGGTTGTAGATAACTACGCCTTGGTTTTGACTGGGCTTTCTGCATAGAATATAATACAAAACGGACGATGAATTTAAATAATTTTTATTACTTCTTTTTCCTTTTTGTTTTAATTTTTTTAAGCCATTTCCCTTAACCATGTTGTAACATTAATATATAGTTATATACCTTTGCATACCACAGTGAGATTAAGTAATGTCATAAAAAAATGATTTAAGTTACATCCTTAATAGCTTCAATATACTTTTTCGAGCTGACGTAAGTCGGCCTCGTTAGCTGCTCTATAGCTTAATGACGGACCCCTGTGATCACTACCATTTGCATTTTCTTATTGATCTTTGCTCTCTTATGATACCTTAAAGAGCAAGGATCAAATCAGAGAAATGTTGCTAGTATGTAAACAATAGCACTATCAAGATTGATTGGAAATATTAAAACGTTAATTCTATCAGTTCTTTAAGAAATATAGTCCTCTGATTATACTTGTATTGAAATCAGAATTTCAATCAAAAAGCAAGATCTGCATTGCATTTAATGTAATTTCCATGCAATAAGTAGTGTTTTTATGGATTTACAAAATAATTAATACTAACTACAAGTTCCTGAGGGGGAATAAGATATGAAGTATCCCTACACTCTGAGCAATTTTAGCGAGGGTAGAATGCAAAGAACTGGCTTCAGCAGAGATCGTGACCTACATGTATGTGTATTGAACGTCGGCAAGGGAGAGGTCAGAAGAGTATTAATATACACTAAAATAAAACAGAAAGAAGCGTTCTCTTTCAAATGAAACATGCAACGCAGCACTGTTAAGGCCTTCAATGAGAAATCAACGTAAAATAGACGTGCAAAAGGGGGTATTTTTAAAAATTCAATTTATTTTAATTAAGCTGTTTTATTATCACAGAACTTTAATACTTGTGGGAATAGCATAGTATAACCAACTCTGTACTGTATGAAGTTTAGTCCCATCGATGGACAGTCATGTGATGAATGCATAGCTTGTTTACTGAATGTAGGTCATTAATAAATTTCAATATCGCAGGGCATACCGTAGTTAAAATTAAAAATTCAAGCTATTAATTGTTTCTGTATACTTTATAGTTTCTGAAAAGTGCTGCTGCTTTGAATAGAATTCGTGTTTTTACAGTTAAATTTTCAAGTAAATAAGCCAATGTCGAAATATGTTTGACTTTTACCAAATATTTTGTGTACTTATAAAATGACGCCTTCGATTTAAAGAAAGCAGCAGCACGTTCCATGTTAAGGAAAATATCCTTTATCTATATTCAAAAAATGGTTCAGATTTATGCAGCGTATGCCCTTGCGAAAGTGCGATTTTATGAGGCATCTTGATGTAAAATATACGTAACCTGTACATAAATACACGATATAATTATAAAATACATTCTCTTGGTAGTTAATTAATAATTGCACTAAACAAAGATTAAAAAACTTCTATGACGTCACCCATTGTTATTAGTCTACGTATATTTTACCGATTCAACCAGCACTAGTTGGATATTTGAAGATCCAACTGGCCATCAGTTGGATATTCAAAATATCCAACTCTTATCGGTTGGATATTTAAATACCCAACTGAGGTGCAAAAAAACATAAAACAATGAACAAAAGAGATAAAGCAATTTTAAAATGTATTTCCAATGCATATGAAAAATAAAAAAAATTGCTCCAACTTTTCCACATTATTAGAATTAATTTCCAGTGCACACGGAATTACCGTAATTATTTCGCATTTATCACATTTATTGTGTTTCAAATGCTCTTCCAATACTCACAGAAATAACAATTCCTCCGAATTTTGCACACTTTTAGAAATTTTCAAAGCATCACTTTTTGAAACAAACACATTTTCACCTTGAATCTTACACTGCATCACTACTTATTGCTGAAAATTATTTCAGGGTCCGTTATTGGTAGATCCCTTCAGAATATCCGAGATTCATCTCTGTTTCATTCTTTTTCCGGCGTACTTCCCAAAAGAACTTAAATAATTGACAGCCCATCTATCTCTCGACACCATTTTTATTGCAGATCTTAATATGGAATTTTTTACAGCAGGTTCAGCATAAACGGTCAAACTTTTTATCTGTTTAAGCACTATTACAAGTATATTCCGAATGGAACTCCATAAGAATTAAACACTTTTCCTCATCTTTTGATATGTAATGACAAATTCCCAACCTTTTATCAAAATTCTGTAGTTTTCTTCAGCTTTCAGGTCAAAAGTGTTCAAAACACTATCTGAACCTCTCTAATTTACATTGGATTTAAAAATATTCTTCGTCTGATTTCATGACTGTTCAGTACAATGAAAAGGGTTGAAATGAAATCAGCACCATGTGGTTTCATGTTCACTAGTCCATGAATAAAAGGGGCGTTCGGTTAGGTCATTGTTTTGTGTCACGGTTGGATATTTGAATGGGCTACATCCTATTGTATTACAGCAAGTTGGATATTTGAATGGGTAAATGTTTCTTTGGGGTCCAAGGTAGGGAATTTTTTTAAGTAAGATAAATAACTCGATGGTGTTGAATAGTTTAGAGAAAACATCCCCTCCTCGGGCCTTCGGCCCTTGGAGAGAATGTTTTCTCTAAATTATTCAACACCATCTCGTTATTTATCCCTTTCATAAAAAATTGGTATTTATGGACTTTTTAAAACCTGTAAATAATATTCCGTTTAATAATAAAACACATTTTTCATTGTTAAAAATTCCTCAATCTGCCTCTCACAGCACATGAAATACGTCATTTTTACCAATATGACGTCATGTTTACAAGTTCATCTGGACCAGTGCATTGTTTAAAACTAGCTACATGGGATTTAACAAGCAACTTTTTTTAATGCTTTGATAAGTTATATTGTTGTTTATTATGCTAATACAGTTAAAAATTACAAATTATTTCATTTTCAGGTATTATGAGAAATACATAAAAGTCATATTTTTTGTGACGTCACAGTAAACTTTTCCCGTATAAATTAGACCCCGCCCCCTTTTTCAAGCCTTAACAATGCTGCGAATTAAATGAATTGGGGTTAACATAGAGGCGTCTGAGACGCAATAGTTTCGACTGAGCTCCACAATTCACCGTAAATCATTACAAAAGCAAATTTATTTTCGCATTTCACTGTAAATAGGGTCTGTAAGTCTCGTCACGTGACTCGCGAGATTCTACGATAATTTTCACTTCCGGGTACCTGACACAAGGAACTGTGTATTGGGTTAAGCATGTTTCTGGTTTATACAAAGCTTTCGAGGAAAAGTTAAGTAGTTTTACAAAGCAGAAGGATTCTCCGACTTACGATGGATGAATTGCGTGTCATAAAAGCTTGGGTGCGAGTGTCCACCAGGAAAAATTCGATCGAAGTACAGGTAAACAATCAGAGAATGTCAACTGTTTCTTGTTTATTTTGAGAGAAAATGAAGTGTTTTACTTTATACCCGAATGAAATAGATTCATAATCATCTTTCGCCTAAATTTGTTAACAGATTTTTCTCGAATTCGAGGACGATAATGTTATTACCAGCTGTATAATAGAGGAGAAGTTTTGTCAGTGTCCGAAGGATACAAACGTCATATTGTGGCTGCAATACTTTTGCATCGGTAAATATATTTTTTTTAAAATAAAGTTTTACCTGTTGTGTGTCACTGGATCACATATTTTAGATCTATTTCCCAAAGATAAGATGTTCATATAATTATATTTTGCTATTCGAAGTATTTCGCTGCATTCAACATTTAACAAAATTCAAATCACTTCAATACAATGACCATACATGTGTAGAAGTTCGGGCTTTATGGACCGTGGATATCGGCCTGGATAGCTCAGTGGTTAGACACCTGACTAGTAATACAGGGGTCCCGGGTTCGATTCCTGTTCCAGCCACAAGTTTTCTTCGTGCATTTCTCCTTTCCTACAACAATGTACTAAATTTGGTGCCGTGCCATGCCCTGGAACTGACAGGTGAAAGAACTGCCAGGGATGAGCCTGGGTTGGGGTCTAAAGACCTTTTAGGTCTTACGCAAGGAAATATCCAATCAAAATGAACTTAGTCAAATGAAGTTCCATATACATAGTGACCATTTCTTTTTCTTTTTTCATTTTCGGCAAATTTTTTTAGGACTCATGTACTAGGGATATCATATCTTTAGCAGAATTGTGCCACTGAATTAAAGGGAACTCTTTTTAGGTGCGTGTGATGCAACTTCCTGGATGGTGCGTAGACTGTTTGTCAACATCTGAAACCCACGTGTATTTCGGGGTAGGTATGTTTACTCTCAATTTTCTTTCTTAAAAGCTGCTTAAGGGTATTTTTTTCTGATCTCAAATTTTTGTCCAAGCATTAATCTTTATTTTCTATTTCATGAATTATCTGCTGAGAGTCTAGTTAATTAATTAATTTAATTAAAGCTGTATAGTAACATATCGTGAAATTATTTCCTTGTGTGAGACCTAAATTAAGGAGGGAGGAATGTGGCGGTCAGCCGGGTTCGATCGCCGGTGGCCAGATAGCTCAGTTGGTAGAGCACCTGACAGGAGTTTCAGGGGGCTTGGGTTCAAATCCCGGTCTGGTCCACTGCATTTTCTCCTCTTTATTTATTCACCGATCTCATACAATTATATACATCAAAACTTATTTTATAGCAGAAGTACGAGAGAACCAGTCAGTAACACAGATGAAAGATGCTGTTGCTGAAAGATCCAGTCAAGCACATAAGACTAAACTGACTTTGAATGATCAGCCTCCTTAAAAATGCAAATCAAATACAGGTAGGAAATTGATGAAACAGAATAAGTTCTAGGACATATATATATAGAATTTATTTTCATAAGACATAGTATATCAAAATATTACAAAAAGGTCATGGATGTCCAGTAATGCATTACCCTCGCCCACCCCAGGGTATTCTTTTAGACATTTAACCATGATTCATCTATACTGTCATCTTTCCTCACTATTAATTGATTGATTGTTGTATAACTTCCCTCTCAAGAATATTTCACTCGTATGGAGACGCACCCACTTGATGGTGGAGAGATGTAAATTTTGTCCTATACTCGGGGCCATTGTCAATTTAAGCAGTGAGGGATATTTTTCATGCCAGTACCTGTGACATAGTTTAAACGGTCTCATATGAAGTATCCACGTCTCCATGTCCCACAGTGTGCAATGTAATCATCTCAGTATTAAAATGGGATGAAACCCTTGTATACAGTATAAATGAATAATAATATTATATATACATGTATTGAATTTTCTTTTTTATAAAATGACAAATAAACTTGTCAACATTGGCCATCATTAAATATATGTTTGTATCCAGACTATCCAGATTAGTTGGAAGGGTTTTTTTTTTGCCTTACAGTATTGAAAAACATTGATAACTGTCATATTAAAAATCACAGCCTCAGAAATCTGTTGAAGTTTTCAAAAAAAATGAAGTGCTGAAAAAATGATTACTAATGGTAGGGCAGATTTTAATGGGTCAGTCTTAGTACATCAAACAAATCATTTTGTTATTGTTGGCCTTAGTAGGGGCACTCTAGATATGAAAATACAGTGTGTAAAACAAATATTTTTAAATCAAATTTTTTTTATAAAAAGGCCTTAAACATTTTTTGGTATAAAAAGGACAATTTCAGTCTGTTTTTCTTGTAAAAATATTGATAAAATTTAATGAAGAAGGTTAAGATTTGTATTAAATATCCAATAAATAGGTATTTACCAGATTTATAACTCATTACACCTAAATTATCAGTAATGCATACTGGAACAACTGTGCAATAATTCGAATGACATTTTACAGAAGTTTGCTAAATTACAGGTTTTTGTCAGCTTATCTGGAAATCTTAGGACATCACTGATTTGATCAAGAACTTGTCCAGTGTGAAGACCAGCCATGTGCCTCACTTGTCATGACATTATTAAAGGTAAGGCCATTCCAAGTTTTTTCTATGTTTAGCGTCCGCGTGCGCCTTGGTTTTTGACACCCCATATAAGAAAAAACACACAACACCAGGAGTCCAGAAATTGATTAATTTAGTTGAAAATTTTGAATTTTGTCAATTTCTCCAAAAATTTCTGTACAGTAAGTTATATTGGGTGTATTTTAAGCATTTAATCCCTTGATTTTACTTTAGAATAGATATCTATTCTATTAAAGTAGTTTAGTTAGATCAAATCATTTGAAGGGCGTCATTTTTATGACTTTTAGGTCTGTGTTTCATGTTTTGGCTTGTGTGTTTTTTGCGAATAGGTAGGTAGGTTTTTGAAAGATGGGTGGACGCTAAACAGAGAAAAAACTTGGAATGGCCTAAGTAACCCTATCAGCAAAGAATTGACAAGCAAAACCTTCAAAAGATTTTCATTTAAGATACTTATTTAATTGGTAGTTTTAATAACATGTAAGCATAATTTTTAGCGAGGCATTATCAGCTAGGTTTCTGAGATTGCTAAAATTGAATATCACTGAAAATTAAATGTGTTTAAGTTGTAATAATTATGTTAATGAAAATTATATACAAATATTATAAAGTTAGTAATCTTTTAAAAATCGCTTCAATTACTTAATAGAAAATACCAAATTTTAAGGACAAATCACTAAATTTGCATCATGATCTCGCTAAAATTTCCACTTGTACAGTATTTTAATTTCTGTAAAATGTTTTGTTACATTTTATAAAAACAAAAAATATATATCTAAATCAAAATCATTTTATTACAGCACTTTGTGACAGTGGGAAGATTGGATTTAAAACATGACATGGCTCTATATTACTGCATCAGAGACCAATCCAGGTTTACGTATAAAGCGAAGGAAAACAGTCAAGCATCATTTGGAGCTACGTGTACATATGTAACCGCCTAGGCGCCTTTACAATATGTCCTCTTATTTAAGAAATCACAGTGACCAGTTGTACCTATGATGTCGGACGAGATCCTGATAAAAACTTCAGTTGCACTCATCACTACCTGCAAAGAAATGAAAATTTTAAATGACTTGTATCAACACTTTTGTACTACATCTGGCTTATATTTTCAGATCTTGTTAGCCTTTATTTTCCTTCAAACAAAATTTTATAAGTACTAACCTGCAGGTGTAAAATTTACTTGTCTCAGAAGAAAATTCTCTGCCATTTAGCAGTGTCATGAGCAGTTGACTGAGGTCACAATTCCACCGGCAAAGAGTACATTGGGTATTTGTAGCTGAATGGTGCCAAATAAAACACTTTTCACAAGAACCTGGCAAAAATTAAGTGGAAGTGAGCATCTACACAAAAAATGAATATTTTCTCAAATATTAACAGTGATATATTATACCTGTGTACATCCTAAATATATACAATACAAGTAACTATACAATGTCAACTTCCTTAATTTTTTTTCTCAAGTTCATGTATAGTGTATCAAAATAAACATGCAATATTTGTCTTGTTACACTGAAGTATTTTAAAGAAAATGTTATTCGTTGAAACAAGTGTGCAAACACTCTGCACAGTTAGCTATTTTTATGGAGAAGTTACATGTACCTATCAACGTGCATTTTGAATCATGGGGATGTAATGTTAGGCACACCGAAGGAGAAAAGTAATTGTTAACAAATGTTTTTACCAATCAAATTTGATATTTAATGAGAAAGTATGTGCCAAATTAAACTAGTATTATGGTTCATTCAACTTAATTTATTTACCATTGTATGTGAGCTTTCGTGAATTCGATAAATAAATGAACTAGTAGGTTTGATAATGAAGAAAGAAAAAAGTGCAGCCCAAAATTTACCCAATACAAAAGAAAATAAATTCCATCATTAACTACTTGGAAGTTGTCACACTCTTCATGAGTACAAGAATTATGAGATATACTATACATAATGTAAACATATTACATTAAGCCATATATTTTATTTAGCGGAAAACATAGTCTGCCTATCCAAGTATATCACTAAATGTCTTGTATATGAATTTAATAACTAGCACATTCAGATTGCGCTAAATCAAATCTAATAGTATGATAACTTGTTGAAAATTGAATTTCCACCAAATATTGTACACGCCAAATGTAATACATTTACAGTATGTATGCCTCATGAACAGAACAGATCTATACCGGTATATGGATGACACATTCAGTCGAAGTGTTGTCCCTTTTTCCGTATCTGCTGGATCCCTGTAAAATATGATGACAAATGTAGATAAAATATTCTATCGTTGAAGGATGAATGTCCTATTGACCCAGTTATTGCCTTTTTGGAGACAACGTTAGATTGATCTATCTGACAAATGCCTTCATTAAAAATATTCCTTTTTCTAATTCCTATTTTAAGAAAGAAAAAAAAGTCTGTCTCATAATTGTAAGAGTATTCTGGAAGGGAGTCATAAGGCTATACAAGTTATATTGAAATTGAATATATATAGTGTATACATCCCTGTTTACATGAAAAGTTATTTATATTTGACATTTTTATTTCTGGATAGAGTACATAACAAGTAAATCTATTTCATTTCTACTGTAATTCAAGTATAATACATAGGCTTTAGCCCCCCTTTTTATTGCAAATATATACATAATATAGGCATTGAAAATTGGTGTTTATCCTTATTTTGTTGGTTAAGCCCCCCCCCCATTCCATGTACCCGTCCCGTGTGCTAAATAAATGAAATAAATTTAAGGAACCAATCTTTAGGGAACCTTTTAGTTTGGAAACACATTATTTCAGCTTTAAAACTATTTAAATTTTCCGTTATGCTTTAAAATGTTCGCCAACCACACTGCTAATCGTGACCCATTCGGAATGGCTTGTATGTACGTCATTTAATAAAACAATAAAGCAGTTAAACGCTGTTTACCTGTATCAATCAATCCATTATATCCTCTTCTTTTCAATAATTGGGAAACAAACGACATGATTGGCTCTGCTAGTCCACCGCGAGGCTTAAAACTAAATGCCAAGCGGTAATCCATTGTCTCCAAGAACGCTCAGGTACCCGGAAGTTAGAAAACGAAAGTGAAAGTTAACGAGACTTACAGACCCTATTATCACAAAAGCGAAGTTATTTTTACCCCTCTATTTTTGTTTTTCATAAAAATATTTAGGACGTAAAAATATCGTCCCTATCTTATAAATCTGTTTGGTGCTATCACTGTTGAAAAAGGTGAATAAAGCCTGGCACTTGTACCTATTTCGCAGCATGTTAATGACCACTTCACCGAACACGCGCTCGGAACTCCTTTACAATTTAGGATTCCGGGTTAGAATAGGTCCTCAGTACCCCCTTGCTTGTCGTAAAAGGCTACTAAATGGGGCGGTCCTTCGGATGAGACCAAATAAACCGAGGCCCCGTGTCACAGCAGGTTTGGCATGATAAAAATCCCTCCCTGCTCAAAGGCCGTAAGTGCCGAGCATAGGCCTAAATCTGCAGCCCTTCATCGGCAATGGTGACGTCTCCATATCAATGAAATATTCTGGAGAGGCACGTTAAACAGTATACAATCAAATCAATCAATCTAGTTTATATAATAATTTCTACTTGTAAAAATGTAATCATTATGTGGTTCCTATTATTCATAATTTAAAGAATTCACAAAGAGAGAAATTATTATAAGGAATTTGAAAATGAACTTTGAAAAGGGTGTAACAAAGTCGATTAGTTGAAACTTTAGATTGATAGTAACAAATACTTTCATTTCAAGCAATAGATATTTATTTATATGCCTGGTAATTAAAATATCATAATTATAATTATATTAATACTTTTAACTATACCAAATGATTAGACTGTTCAAAGTTAATTCTACGTTTAACGTCACATCTAAAGTTCAAAACAAACAATTATGAATTTATTCAAATTGATCTATATGATACATTAAAAACACTACAATTAAGTAATAAGAGTATTTGATATGACACCTAACTTTAATTTCCCTAGCAGAGTTTTTCCTTTAAGTATTTTAATTTGATAGTAATATTTAAAACCTTAAAGCTAATAATATAGACTTTGAATTAATCGACGGATTCAATCACTAAAGAAAAATCACCAATCCTATAACCTACTATTTGGGAAGTCAAAGTCAAAGTGAGACTGCGATCAAGAGAGATCTCATCTAAGTTTTATTGCCCCAGAGCCCGCATGCTGCAATTTCAAAAATATGTTACGCGTACATTATTTTTTCATGCATCCATACATATCATATATGTATGGCAAAGAGTCTTTTGTTAGCAATTCTATATTTGGATAACTGAGCATTGCCAAACCCTCTAAATCCGTCTCTATACCCTAACCCCGTCACTTTCCGGAAACTCCATGCAGTTTGTAAAGGAGAGCAATTGTGACGTAATTTATGCATGCTGAAAATCTACAATCACATTCAAAGCAATTATAATAATGAAGTTCAAAAAGCGTCAAAACAAATTTACAATTATTTAATTATAGGTATCCTAATTTGTGTTAATCCAGTAAGCATCTTTTCCCGTATGTCCTATTCCATCGAAACTGCGTTAACATGGTCATTTTTACCTGTCAGTCATTTTTATGAAGGTCTATTACAAAGTTCAACATGACTACCATGTTGAATAGGGCTAAATTATTTTATTTTTTATATACATGTACATTCAATTTCTGGAATGTACGTACTACGCGTTTGATAACGCGCAACACTTTTACATATAAAATACGTTAACTACGAAACATTATTTGTGTATATTGCTGATGCCTTTCTAGATATGGAATTTAATTCTATCTGAAGTCTTTAAAACAATTTTTCAAGTTTAAAATTTAAGAAAATGGTATGAAAAGTTTAACGGGTGTGTGTGTAACTTTAATACGTTGGGATATTGTGACAGAATTAGGATACATAGGACAAAATTAATAGCATTAAATATAATGTTCATCCTTATTACGGTGTAACTAGAAACAAATCAAAATATAATTTGAAGAGAAATGCGAGTTGTTTTCCGATTATAGTGACGGGTACTTTAGGATTTATAGAGCATATAAGTTACGAAATACATTGTCGTGTTGATCTCTTTTATCTTTCCAGTGATTTTATTGGGGTTTCTCTTAGATTTAAATTTTTGCATATGCCAGTTACTTGGAGGTGAATTTCACATTTTACTGAAGACGTCACCTCAATTCAGTACTTCAGTACTTTGATTTAAAAAGTATACCAAGCCATTAATTTAATGATTTCAGTATACAGTGTCTGATCGGAATGTTTGTCAAACAGTCCGTCCGTCTAGATGTCAATGTGTTCAACTGTTACGTTTAGGGGTAATCATCTCCTTTTAGACCACTGTTTTAAATTCAATGAAACTTTCACATAATCTTTGTTACATATTGCCATTGTTAATCTCTTATTTCACTTTTTGATCGAACACATTTTTTGGATTTTCCACAGAAAAACGTAGACTTTAATTTGCTATTTTGACAATGTGGGAGGAGGGTATCATTTAGGGAGCTCGATGTTCACAGTTCTTCTACACTGTAGTTTCATTTGCAGCCAGAGTTCTTCCTTCTTTTCCAAAAAAATGAGTTGAATCTAGGATCGACCGTTTATTTTACAACATATTGGTTAAATATTAATGGTTTTTGTAGCAACCACATCATAAATTATACGAGTTAAATTACTCACTACATGTAAAACTAAATTCCGAAGCATGTTCATACTTCATACTGGCAGGAAAATGAAAATCTTTTCGTAGAACCATATACTGTTTCACGATTAATGATTGATTTACTGCTTATTTTACATACTAGTATAAACATCAAGGTTCTATTCTCATGTAATTAAATCAAAGTTTTAACCTTATTTATACTCAAGACGTTCCAAAATGAATGAAAGAATATCAATATAAAGTGTCATGAACAATGAAATCTTGAGTTAAGAATTTATGTTAAAAAAAATAAAACTTGCGTGTCCTAAACTTAACCTTTAATGTTTTTTCTCCTCTAAGCCCGGTAAGAAAATGGAGAAAAAATTACAAAAAGATACAGAAATCATGCAAAGCAAAAGAAAAGATACAAGAACAGAATAAAATGATGTGTCAATGTTTTAATTTATCTACATGATCTGTCCCAGATGCAAGTCAAAATTAAAGAACACATTCAATAAAAAAAAAACACTATCTAGAAATAAAAACAAAAAATGTCAGAACGTGGTAAAAAAAAAATACATAAGTGTGGAATCCTTTTCAATTGGTATAAAGTTGAACCCGGTGTTATATTTGGATGCTGTGCACCCAATACGTGTGCATTAACATTCTGCATAGGAAAGAAATTAACAAAACCTCAGCAAAACTGAATATGTAGCATGCATAAGTATATCTTCAAAAAAAGATTAATCTAGATTTTTCCGGATAAGTTACTTAATAATTAAATAATCTTTCATGACCTTATATTAAAGAAAAATTAAAGAACAATGGGTTCAAAAAATTATTTCAAGGGCAATTTCGATTTACTGTTAGCTCAAAATGTGTCCCAAATGGCGTGATTCTTATTCGGCAGCTTTGTGTTGTCTCTCAAGTCTCATATACTTTACCATAATTAAGCCTATTCAAAGCCCTCCTAGCCCAGATAGCAAGCTGACGTTGGGCCGATGTTGGCATATGGTTGGTAGATCGGCTACATATCGCGGTTGGCAGAACGATATTTGCTATTTTTCCTTGATATAACTATACTGTGGTAAAAAAAGGGGATATTTTCAATGGACATTTTCTGTAGTAAAGAAAAGAAAAGTGGGGGATCAGCCCCCCACCCACCCACCACTTGCTACGTGCCTGAACATTGTTATTTTTAATGTTGAATATGGACATCTTTGTAATTTTGGCCCGACATTGTTAAATCAATGTTGCTATATAAACTTATGAAAAATATATTTATTTATTTCATTTTTTATTTATTTGTTTATTTATTCATTTTTAATAATTTAACCCTTACGTAGATTTTCAAAACTATGGAATATAACTTAGGTTTTTCTCTAAAACTGTCGACTAATACACGCGCATGTAGTACAATTACATCGGGATCGAAGTCGGGCTCGATAAGCAATTAATATAAACAACACACCGCGCCGAAATTTAAATCTTTGGGGGGTTCCACGCAGCCATGTTGATGCTGTACAGAAGAAAAGTTCGGAAGAGAGTGTCGCGAAAAGGAGAATCATGACTAGCTTTGGATGGAATTTCTGTTTTGACAGAAGATGAAGACATTTTACGACCCGACACTGCGGTAGGTACTACTCAATCAAATTCAGCAAATATAAACAAATTGACCGCCCCGGGTAATCCGCGGACGGTTACTTAGTTAATCTTTAATAATTTACATCAGGGACCTATATACTAAGTATACAGGCCCCTGTTTACATACACAATCTGCAATAATTATTTAATACAAAATGCAGTTTTTCTCCAATTTATCAAACCCA